TAAAAACATCTTTTTTAAAAAGGCAACTTCAATACCCTACACAGAGGATAGTGAGTTTTCCTCCTGGGCAAGGGAGGAGGCCGCCCGTGGCCGGGGCACTGTCTGACATTCTCGCATCTGGGCTGGAACCAGAGTGTCTACTTCTCGGGGGCTCTCTCCTTCGGCAAGTCCCCCGCCTTCACGACACTCCCCCCTTCAGCCCCCACCCCCCAGTCACTTCCAGACATTCACACCAAATGTGTGGTCACTTTCAGGGCCAGTCTTGACCCAGAGGTCCCTGTGAGGGAGTTTCACAACTGGGGACTAGGAGCCTTCTCCTCTCTGTCCCTCTCCCCAGGCATCGACTGGCACAGGAACTCAGTCCACTCGGGCTGCCCCTCAGCATGTCTCAAACTCGAACCAGAATAGAAGTCAGCTGCGGGTCTAGTTAAAATGCAAATCCAATTCAGTAGTGGGTCTGAAGAACCAGATTCTGCATTTCTAAGGAGCACGCAGTGATGTCGAAGCTGCAGGTGTACAAGTCTCATTTTGGTGACCAGGTGCTAAAGATCCGTAACAATAGCTTGTGAGTCTCTGTCCCATTTGATTGGGAGGGAAAAAGAGAAAGAAGCAAGAGAAAGCTAAGCAGAACCCCTCTGCGAACCTGCCAGGTTTCTTCTGTCTCCCCCGCCCCCAAAACTGTGAACGGTCCAGCATGAACGCCTTGTCAGAGGTGCATGCGAATATCTTTTACTGAGGTCTCCACGCTCTGGATTGCAAATTGCTTTAACCCTAAATGGCTTTAAGATAGGTGCTGTTTTGTTGCTCATCGTAAAAGAGTGGCAACAATTTCAAAGTCCCTCAACGGGAAACTGCTGAAATGTTATAAAATGCAACACTGCACAGCGTTTGGTGGGGAAAGATGGGCAGCCCTTAATTACTGTCCTGGAAAGAGCCCCAAAATAAGTTGTTAAATAAAAAAATAGAAACAAGGTACAGAACAATGTGTATAGTTTGCTACCATTTGTATCTTTATAAAAAGAGGAGAAAATATAGGTTCACATATTGCTTATATAAGCAGTCACTAACCATGGAAAGATATACAAGAAACTGGTAGTTTCTGAGGCAGATTGCTGAGTGGCTGGGGAATCAGCAGGGAACAGGCAGGTTGAGGACTTATTTTCAATGTAGTCCCTTTTGAATTTTGTACCACTGGAATATATTTCCCACTCGAAAAAACAACAACTAAAATTGAAAGAGAATCCCCTTGTTCTTTCTATACCTCCATCCACCTGAAAATTCAATGAAATTGATTCACTCAACGAACACTTTCAAGAACCCTCTTGGGGAGTCCCCAGCAGAGTTGATTCCTGGAACAGGGATCCAACTTGGAACAGTTGGTTACTGGAACAGAGTAGCATTGCCTTGTGTTACCCATGTGTCAGTGTTCCACCAACGTGGAAACTCCAAAGGGTGTGTATTGAGAGTCTAGAGGCTCTGGGGGGGTCCCAATTTCCCTGGTGGGATTCCAGAGACCTGCCCCTGAGGACAAGAACTGCAGATCTCAGTGTTCTGCAGATGGAAGACATTCTGCACATCTGGGTCACCTTTCTACCATCAGGTGACTGGGAACTTGACAATGACTTCACCTAAAAAGCCTTCCTGTGAGGACCTCGTGCTGACTTTGGCTGGCTGAATGATTGGGTTTTACTGTTCAGCTCTGGTTGCCTTATTTTATCTCTCGATTCTCATGAAATAATTTCTCCAGCTCGTGTTCTTTATGCGCTTTCCCCCAGCTATTATCCCTCCTTAGTGAATAGAGGATTCTGCCAAACACTGTCCAGATGGTCATTCAAGTTCAGATATCAGTTCATCTTTTTGGGACCTCAAGCAGGTTACTCAGTTCTCAAATCAGGTTGGGGTGAGGGGAGGGCCTGACCTAGAGAAGAGCCCAGAGCAGGAGCTCAACAAATATGTTTCCTCCATTGTAACATGTCTTCCTCACTCCACAGCCACTTGGGATCATTATAAGCTCCCCATTCTCTCCAAAGCACATCTGTTTTGACCATCTCAGTCCTCCTGGGAATCCCAAAAGCCCAGACGAAGCAGATCGGTGCACAGGACTCAGCTGTCTCCAATCCTTGCCCAGTGGCATATCACAAATGTAGCATAACTGGGACCACAGGCAGATCTGGTGGCTCCCGGCAGAATTCCCTGAACCTCCCTGTGTTCCCAACCCAACTCCTCCAAGACTAAAGATGCCCAGTCCTGTGGCTCCTTCATGATTCTCCCCTCAATACATTCAAATCCACCAGTGTTTGAGCTCCCACAATGTGTCATGTTACGCCAGTGACTTTTTTTTTGATGTCCAGATCTTTTGTGCATGGAAAGGATTCTCTAAAGCCATTTGTCAATTGATCATAATATTTTAAGTTGTAAATTTAGAACTCAGTTTTTCTTAGGCCATTAAATGCAACTTTCAGATATAATCAATTGAATTTTAGATCTAGTAATGTTTGTTAGAATTTAAAATAATCACACTTGATCCTTGGTTAATGTTCCCTTAGCCTCAAAATCTAACATTAAATTCCCCCAAATAATTTAAGCACTGTTTACAGTTAAATTCTCTTAAACAATTCAAAGTCACACACACACAAAATCCACAGAAGCAAATTCTCTTAAACATTCAAACACTATATATAAACATGATTAATTAAATGTTCTTCAACCTTTTAAACTACAATCACAAATTTAATGTACCTGATTTCCCAAGCCCTTCAAATGCCTTCATGAGCATTTAAACAACTCCAGAAAATTACTAAATCAAAACCTATGTATTTAATAGATCAAATGTTCTTCTGCATTTTAGCAGTCAAATCAAACATAAATTCAGCTCATTCAATTTAGCCAATCATCCTCCTTAATTTGAGTCAAATTAAGCAGATACTCTTAATTGTTTCAACCCCTCAAATAGTATATCCAATATGTGTATATCCAAATATGCATTCAAGTTCATATTAAATGATAGAATTGTTACAAAAATTTATCATCTTATAAAGAGATCCTACCAAAGTTATCAGTATAGGATGCAAAGCATACACTCATCTGAAAAGAATCACCCTAAAGCCTCCACAGCAACTCGAATTAAAAATGTGTGGTTGTCGGGGCGCCTGGGTGGCTCAGTCGGTTGGGCGGTTGCCTTCAGCTCAGGTCATGATCCCAGCGTCCTGGGATCGAGCCCCGCATCGGGTTCCCTGCTCAGCGGGGAGCCTGCTTCTCCCTTTCCCTCTGCCTGCCGCTCTGCCTACTTGTGCTCTCTAACTCTCTGTCAAACAAATAAATTAAAAAAAAAAAATGTGTGGTTGTCAGAGAGTCAAGATGAGGGCTATGAATTCAGGGATTTGGGCCAAAACTCCCAGGCTGGAAGAGCGGAGCATGGGTGCAACTGGACAACTAGGCACCAGAGGCCCCAGCTTTCAGAGGCACTGGGTTTCACGGGGCATCGTCCCCCGATTCCACTCTTTCCCACTTCTTATCATAATCATTCTCCAATTTTTACCATCTGACTTGGGCAAAAGGCATTCTGAACCCACCCATCTGGGTAGTAACCATCCTTTTTGCAGCCTGATTTACCTCAAAGAGACTCTGTATCTTCTTTACAGCTTCCCTTCCCCCATGCCACAAGTGTTTACTGAGAGCCTACTATGTGCCAGTCGCTGAAGATACGGCAATGAATGAAATTGACACAAATGCCCAGCTCCACGGTTCTAGCATCCTGACATCAAGACAGAGCTCGTAGGCAAAAGCAATATGTCATGTGTGTGTCACATATTTGAAGAGAAAAAGTCCTATGAGGACAAAAAGGAAATAGAGAAGAGGGATAGCGAGTGCCGGGGTAAGACAGGGTTTCATTGTAAATAAGATGCTTAAAGAGGGCTTGACATGCAGGTGACACTGGAGCCTGAACTTAAAGGAAATGAAGGAAGGAGCCCTGTGGCGACCAGGAGCAAGAGTGCTCCGAGGGACGAGGGGCAGGGACAGTAGCGCAGAGGTCCTGAATCCCTCCTGCGTGTCCTAAGAGGGGCGAGGAGACATGAGTAGCTGGAGCAGGATAAGCGAGAGGGAAAAGAGCAGACAAGAGGCCAGAGAGGTGAAAGGAAGTGATGGAGTAGTGGCCAAACTCACAGAGCCATTGTGAGCATCCTGCCTTTCTCTTGTGTGCAGTGACAGGCTCGCCCCAGCTGCTCCTCCTAATAGGGAAGCAGGACACCAGCTAAGAGCAATTTGCAATTAATCAAGCAGGGTATGAGGGTGTCTTGCAAAGAAGGGGTGGGAAGTTGGTACACATTTTGAAGGTAGAGCCAATAGGATTTGCTGAGGGGTTTGAAATGAGGAAAATTTTCTTACCGAATTGATCATTAATTTATATTTATTCATTGACACTGGCACTGTGATTGATACCAGAGCACAAATTCCTGAGATAGGAAGTAACTCTCCTCCTACCAGGAGTGAGAAAGTCCAACAGGAAAGATGGATGGGCATTTTTTTTAATGTTAAAATAGAGTGCCATGAATTTGACTGAAGGAGTAGCTGTGAAATTCAGGGGAGGGAGGGAGGAGATGAACCTCTAAACTGGGTTTGGAGAGACCGAAGGACATTCCAACAAGAAAATATAGAATTTGAAAAGGCATAGACATTTGCAATAGCTCAGTGTGTTTGTAGAAGTAAATTGTTCAGAATTGCAAACTGAGAGCAGGATAGCATGGAGGTGGCACAAAACACACGTGATGTGGAAGCAGAGGAAAGTAGACGTCGTCCTAAGGGGGACAGAGAACCCTTAGAACCTCAGCATGAGTGTGACAGGATGGGATTGATGTGGAGTTTGGGGACAAGTCTGCCACTCGGAGATACATGGGCTCTTCGGTGGTAGGAGATGTTAAAGGCTACCTCTTTGATGAGAATGTTAACATTCCTGTTTCTCCTACCCTTGGCCATTGTCCCGTGTGTAACACACCAGCAGAATGACATCGGGGCAGAATCACACCATGCTGATGAGATTCATCCTGCTGGGCCTCACAGACCAGGCCGACCAAAAACATCTCTTTGGCGTCTTCCTGCTGATCTACGCTGTGACACCAGTGGGCAACCTGGGCATGATAGACCTGATCCGTACCAGCTCCTCCCTCCACACCCCCATGTACTTCCTCCTGAGCGTGCTCCCCTTCCTAGACATCTGCAATTCCTCTGTGTTCACCCCCAGGCTGCTGACCAGCTTCCTCACCGTGGACCAGTCCATCTCATTTGCAGGCTCTGTGGTCCAGATGGCCTTCATGATCCTCCATGGCACAGGGGAGTGCCTGCTCTTGGCCATCATGGCCTATGGCCAATTTGTGGCCATCTGCTACCCTCTCCTCTACCACACCATCATGTCCAAGTGCTTGTGCATCCAGCTGGTGGTGGGCTCCTATGCTGTGGGGGTGTCCATTTCAGCTGTGCAGACAGGGAATGCCTTCATCTTGCCCTACTGTGGTCCCAACATCATTGATCACTTCTTCTGTGACATCCCCCCGTGCTCCAACTGGCCTGCTCAGACACCACTGTAGCCAATGTCATCCTGCTCTTCTTTTCTGCTTTGGTTACTGTCCCCACGGTGTCAGGCATCTTGGTCTCTTACACCTACATCCTGATCACTATCTGTAGGATGAGGTCCCTGGAGGCCCAGAGCAAAGCTTTCTCCACTTGTGCCTCCCACCTCACTGTCCTCTCCCTCCTCTACGGGTCTGTGTTCTTTGTATATGTCCAACCCAACCCAGAAAGGGCTTCAGCCTATAACAAGGCGCTCTCTGTGCTCTACACCATTGTGATCCCCATGCTGAACCCCCTGGTCTGCAGCCTAGGAATAAAGGTGTCAAGGCTGCTGTACGAATTAGGGTTCTTAACTTAAGCAGAAAAGGAATTTGTTAGAAAGGTATCTGGGAGCTCATGAAATAGAAGAGAAGCCTAGAGATCCCAGCTGGGACAGGAACCAAGAATGGCCAAACACAGCTGAACGCCTGCCACAGGAATGGTCTGTGCAGGTTCCCCCACTGGGGAGCATCACCTTTGAGCATTCCCCATTGCTATGGCCAGCACTGCTGCCCCTGAGCATTCAACACGGCTCAGCTGCAGGACAAAGCCACTGACACGATCCTCTACCATCCTTATCGCATCCAACCACATCTCATCTCCATCTGTTCCGATGCCTTCCCATCATTCCCTGAAGTTCAAGTCAGAGTCAGGAACATCCACCTGTTTGGCAGCATCCCTATTGTATACCCATCAATACACCACATTCAGCATGGATACATTACATCCCCGACATGCTACGTGCACTTCTACCTTACAGAGCCCTAGGACCGCCTTCAGTGGTCCCAGAGTGGGAGTCAGATTCTGTCTTCCTCCTATCTGTGAGAGTTCTCAAATATAGAAAGGAGCACTGAATGCCACAGCAACCGAAAAGGTTAGATAGGGGATATTGCCCTTCTGTGATATTGGAGAAATGGTCCATGTGATATTTGAGTATAGGAAGGAGATAGTGATCATTTGACTTTGTGGGGCTGAATGGAGCCCCAGCTACAGAAATCTCCATTATAACTAGCCAGGGGCCAGAATGTGTGCTACAGCAATAATGAGCTATTATTTCTCTATAAATCGCCAATTCAAACAAAATAAAAAGCTGCAAGTCCATAGAGCTCTTTTCAGTCAAGATCAAATTATCTTTATGTCTTAGAAAAAACCTTTTTTATTGTAACAGAAATCAATCTTACTAACTTTAGAGGGAAAGAAAGAGGTGAAATATATTGTGAAACCCAGATGTCAACTGAGGTTTACTATCTTTCTGAGAGTCAAATAAAATTGGCTTGAACCCTGTCTCATGTGTGCTAAAATGTCTGTATTTCTGCCTGTCTGGAGAATCTGAGGTAGCAGAGGATAGGGTGTAAATGGTTTATGTTTTTCCTGGTTACCTCTAGCTCCAAATTCCTAAATCCTAAATTCCTAAATGATTTACTTTGGCCTACACATCATTCAGGAAGGGGGGAAAGCATGGGGCCAGAAATGTGGATGGTATAAATAGGGAGGAGAGAGAAACAAAATCTGACCATCATAGAGCCTGGTGGGAGGGGAAAAGGGGAGCTTTAGGCAGACTGGGCTGAGCCAACACAGCTGGGCTTGCTTCTTACAGGAAACCAAAAACAACTGCATCTCTTCCAGAAGAAACCTCCATGTTCACCTGTAACTTCATAATTATCGAAGTGAAACAACATATTCTTAGAAAATTGAATAATACACGGGTGAACTGTTGATCAATGCTCAGTGATGGTACTGAAATCATCTCTTGGCTTTATTTATGGTTTAGGGTCATTTTTCTTAACATACTGTATTAGGGCACTCCAGAGAAACAGAACCAATAGAACATGATAGATTAGATGATGATAGATAGAAAGATGATAGATAGATAGATGATAGATAGATAGATAGATAGGTAGATAGATAGATAGATAGATAGATAGATAGATAGATAGATAGATAGATAGATGATAGATAGATAGATGATAGAGGAGATTTATTATAGGAATTGGCTCATGCAATTATGGAGGCTGAGAAGTCCCACCATCTGCCATCTGCAGGCAGAGAACCAGCAAAGCTGGTGGTGTAATTCGGTCTAAATCAAAAGGTCTGAAAACTGGGGGCTGTAGTGTTACTCCTGGTGGGAGTCCAAAAGCCGAAGAACCAAGCCCACCGATGTCTGAGGATAGGAGGAGATGGATGTTCCAACTCCAGCCAAAAGGGCAAACTCGTCCTTCTGCCTTTTTGTTCTACGGAGGCCCTAAATGGATTTGTATGAGGCCCACCCACATTAGTGAGGGTGATCTTTACTCAGTCAACCAATTCAAATGCTAATCTTATCTGGAAACCCCACTCAGACATAGCCAGAAGTAACGTTTTAGCATCCCTTTTACCAGAGATGCCCACATCCCTGAGCCCAGTCAAGGTAACACATAAGTTAACAATCACACGCACTAAGAATACAGCAGGCCCCAGCTGGTCCCCCCCCCACCATCCCAACACTCCATCCCAGACTCAGCAGTTTAAGAACTGCTGTCTTTTCATGAAAATAAGCCATTTGCTTAACAGAAAACTTTCCTTCGAATAATAATTTCCCTTAGGACCAAGGAGACACAGAGGACCCAGGAACAGAGACACTGGGGTGTCAGCCCCTCCTTCATTGCCCTGGTAAACTCACACTCTGCTCCTAATGTCAGCAATTCCTGAGCACGCTCACCCCATGGTCCTGGGCAACCCAGTCACAGACTACAAAGTAAACAGGCTTCCCAGAAATGGATTACAGGGTGGCCTATGAGGAACGGAGGGAAGACAGGGCAGAGAGGGGAGAGCAGAAGCAGCTGAGGACATAGCGAAGTTTGCTAGGAGACAGTCACCCAGCCCCTTCAGCCCCACGCACACCTCCCTGTCCAAATGTCTCCTCCCCTCTTCCCTCAACTAAAACCATCGGGCACAGAACCCAATAGGAGGCATTGGAATGTTGGCTGGAAATTAAGTCAAAGTGTTACCTCTCTCAAGAGCATTTGAGTTACACTACGTCTTGAGACCACCCAGAACCCACTCAGTACCTGAAGATGTGGAACTTTCTACTGGGTGGAAGTGAAGCCAAAAGTCAGGTGGAGGGGCAGATCCAGCCACAGGTGCTGGAAGGAAGACAGACCGGTTTGTGGTCCTGGCCGGGCAGCTGAGGCACCGGGCCACTGCAGACCACTGCCAGCAAGTACTGGACATTGAGCAAACGGTTATTGTTGGCAGGGACTGTCTCCGTCACCCGACAAAAGTTAGTTAGCCTTGCTGGGCTTCCACCTGTCCCGCATGCAATAGAGATGTGATGGCCAAAGCCTACGTGTTTACAAATGGAAAAGGGGTTAAGTCACTTCGAATCTCTTCGATGTTCCTCTGGTTCCCAAGGCTCTCAAACTCATTTAAACTAACCTTAAGAGGCCCTTGGGGGAGGGACACTGTAACCATGTAGGGAGGCAGCCCAAGCATTGGGATCCCCAGCGGAACACTCAAGCTCTCTAGTGCCGAGTGCTGTCACTCACCAGGCGGGACATCTCTCCAGGCATCACATCCAGGGACAACTTGGCACAGGATGGAAGGAGCCAGATGCAAGTGAGCAAGGCCTTCCCTGGGAGAAAGAATCCAAGGCAGTCCAAGATACCTCCAGCTGGGCCTGGTCAGAGGTGACTAGTATTACAGAAGGGGCAGATGGGCAGACACCCTCCAGAAGACTCATGGATCCTGCCAGGTGGTTGCCCTGCCTTCTCCACAGGTCAAGATACTGAGCATTGTCCCCACCCCACCCCATACACACAGTTTCATCCCTACCCTCTCCAGGACCTCACAGAAATGCCACCAGCCCCAAGAAGCTGAGATAGACGGGACACAAGCCTGGCTCAGGGACAGTGTTCGTATAAGCTCTCTAAAGATAGGTTTGCTCAATGGAGGGCACCAGTCAATCTTAGAATCCCATTCTTCTCTAAAATAAAGCATGATGTTTGTCATAATTTGAGAGACTGAGTTTCCAAGGCCAGTCCACCAGAGTCATTACCAGCCAGAAAATTCTACGCCCACAAATCTGTGAAATGCTGCCCAATGAACAACATGTCTAAAGCATGACCTCAGGGTCTGAACAGTGTAGTTTCCTGTGGGTATTGTATTATTATTATACCCAACAGCACACTTCACTGTTCTACTTGCTTGTGCTTTTAAGTTCAAAACTGCAATTCTAGTTTGTTTTTAAAGATTTATTTATTTATTTGAGAGAGAGAGAATGCGCACGAGTGGGGAAGAAGGGCAGAGGGAGAGAGCGAGAGAGAGAGGATCTTAAGCAGACTCCACACTGAGTGTGGAGCCCAACACAGGGCTCAATCCCAGGACCCTGAGGTCATGACCTGAGCTGAAATCAAGAGTCAGACGCTCGACCGACTGAGCCACCCTTGTGCCCCTCAAATCTACAATTCTTTATAAAAGTAACCCAATCACTCAATTTACAACGTACCTGTAAATAAGTGATGTGAGCAAGGCCTGCAGGCGTTAGCAGCAAATTGTGACTTAGCGGGAAGGAGGACTAGAGAAAGGATCTCTGGGCAGGATGAGATCTTTCCAGTCTTCTTAGGGTTTCCATCGGACGTTGTGCTCAGACATTGTGCCCAAGTATGGGTAGCAGAGCTCCCTGGGGAAACCATCCCCTAGTACCTCTTTCTGTCAACGAGACTTTTCACTTGGTGTGGTGTGGCCATCAAAATTCATGGTTAAATCCAGCTCACATATTAGCTAAATGCTCTCCATCCACCTGCCGTCAGAGGCCCCAGCTCGTGATCGCCCATCTGCCATGGGGCTAACAGCGGCTCACAAATGTGGAAAAGGCAAAAGGGATAAGTAGAGCTGCTTTCCCCTTCTTCCTCATGGCTCCAGTTGTTTCCGTTTGTCAAGGAGCCTGAAGATACCTTCATTTCACAGGCAGCGCGGGTTGGAAGGATCTTGCCAGTAGTTTTCCTGAAAGCCCCGATTTCTCAGCCTTAACTTCTTTAACCCAATATTGGTTTCGTGGTAAACTCTGCAGCTTGTCCTTTATGTTTCTTCCTGGGTGCCCATCTTCTGTGCTTTATGTATGTCAGATCACAGGGCCCCAGCATGACTAAAACCTCAGGAAAGGAATAAAACCGTACTAGTGGGGGGCAGGGGTTCAGGGGCGCATGTCGGATGTGTGTGCTGTCTTGTTTCCAGGACAAGCCTAAGGAAAGTACCAATGTACAACCAAGCTCTCTGCCAGTACAAAGACAGTGTTAGATATGGTGCCCATCTTAGGTGTGACCCTCGGAGGGACCACTCTTT